CTTTCGGACACTCACGGGGGGGCACTGCGCCAGCTTGTCGGCGGCCACCATCTGGACGTTGAGGTGTTTGGCCTGAGACTTTCCTCTGGACTTGATGAGCCGCTGCAGGACCTGGAGGGTCAGGAGACACAGAGACAGGCAGTGAGGGCCGATTTCCACAAATTCAACACGGGGAAAACCTCTGTCCTGGAGATTTTTTTCTCTTTTGGTTCTTTGTCTAAGATACCTGGCGACTCTGATTTTAGCACCAGTAGGAAATGAGACCATTTCCTTAACCCTAAAATGCCATATGTATCATATTTGATTCATACGATTTCTGGAAAATGTTGCATCTGAGACCTTTAGCATCATTTCATGGTAAAAACTTTGTCCAAAACCTTGCTGTACACAATCAGGTACAGCTGATAACAGTGGGCAGAAGACTGTGCACAATCATTTTGACTTAGCAGAAGGTAATAATTGACGAATATTAAAAAATCCTTTCAGTTTTTTCTCATATATTTTGTGAAAATTCTCGCTACGTTTTCTTGGATTGGGCTTTAAAGGGTTAATCCCATCAAGGATGACTCTCCCATTCCTGTTAATCATTGAAATTGTATGACTTGTCCTTTGTTTGTTGCTGATAAGAAATACAGTGGCCTTTTCCTTTACTTTATCCATACTAGAGTTACATAAGAGGACGTTTACTCTTTGACCTGTGTCTTCGAACGCTGTTGCCTTAGAATAAAACACCTTTATTGGACAAGATCGATCTTCTCTAATTATTAAAGAACTGTCCCTCACTCATTTAAAGAACTTTTCCCGTAACACCTCCGTCTTTCGCTCGCTTGGTTATAGTTACTGTCTTTCGTTTTTAGCCCGTCCTCATACGAGTTTCAGAGTTTATTATATCAGAGATGTCAAAGTCTGAGGGGTATATGTAGATAAAAATGTATCTAATAATGGTAGCTGTAATGTATTACACCTTTATTTACAGCAAGCTTTTCATGCTGGAAAACCAAAACCAAACAAACAAAATTAAATATTAAGAAAAAAAAAAAAGATGTCAAAGGCTTGCCTTTTCAGTCTGAGGGGACTTGTGTATATGTAGATAAAAATGTATCTAATAATGGTAGCTGTAGTGTATTTCTGTTTTAATTGCAGCAAGCGTTTAATGCTGGAAAACCAAAACCAACCAAACAAAATAAAATATTTAAAAAAAAGATATCAAAGGCTTGCCTTTTCAGTCTGAGGGGACTTGCGTATATGTACATAAAAATTGATCTTATAATGGTAGCTGTAGTGTATTACTCCTTTAATTGCAGCAAGCTTTTAATGCTGGAAAACCAAAAACAACCAAAGAAAATTAAATATATAAAAAAAAAAATGTCAAAGGCTAACCAGCACGCCACTTCTGGCCCCGAGCAGGAAGCAAGCAGACAGTAAACATGACGGGGGGAATAATGTGAGCCTCTGTTCTCTGTCAGAGAGCAGAAACTGTTCTGACTTTCTGACTCCGTGTTCTGTCTCCCTTTTGTCCACGGCCAAATTCCACCACAGACTCCAGACACCAGAGACTCGGACAGATGTCCGAACCGTCCCTGTTCTCCATGAGAGCGGTCGCAGAGGGATTCCTCTGAAGTTTTTTTGGCACGTCGACCCCACACAGCTGCGATCTCAGGCCTCCATTTCAGATGTTTTCTGAAGGGAAACAGTTTCTGCTCATAATCCGACTTATTTACCTTTTTTTTACTGTCTGGTCGCTTCAAATTATTGGATTTTTCTGCTGATAATCTGATTTATTTACCTCGTTTTTACTGTCAGGTTGCTTCAAATTATTGGATTTTTCTGCTGATAATCCGAC